ACGTTTAAATCTCAGCGTCTCTAATTTGGAATCTCTGAAAGTGAAAATTTCTAATATTTCTTAACTCCGGATGATGGAGATAGTAGCAGCACCGTCCCCGCCGGCAGCCCTAATAACAAGATCTATTATCATTTGCGGTAAGGATTCGGGCTGAAACACCTTGGTGAATAGCAGCAGGAACATGAAACGTGCTTTAAAACCCAGCAAGGCGCAGAACTGAACAGACTGAAAAACAGCACAGGAGAAAGCCGGGGGGGGGGAGGGGATCTCCAGCGTTTCGAACCCCTTGAAATGTAAATACTGCAGGGCGGGAGTTATTAAGACACAAGACGTCCCCCAATACCCCAAGACAAACGCAAACAACAGCAACCGCCTGAGCACAGTATCTTGTGCCATTTTTAAAAGGCGTCCTTTTAAGGCTTTCAGCTCGTGCGACAACCGCGGCAATAAAAGTCCAGCAACATGTGTTTTTTGACTTTCGGATTTAAGCCACTGCTTCGGTGGCAGAAGGCGCGGAGAGGCCGACCAGGAACTCTGGAGGTTGCCCAAACTCTTCACTTGGGCAGGGCCCGAAGGACAGGCCCCAAAGGCGTTTGAGATGGACCCAGATAACCAGACTCGGGCCCATGCAGGAAGAGCGAGGAGAGGAATGGCTCTCTCCTGTTTTGTTTTGAAAGACGGGGCGTGGGGGGCGTGGAAGGAGAGGCTCCCAGGGCAGCCTCCGGAATTGCAAACAGGGGGCAACTGAGGGCCTCCCCGGGCCTGACCGACAAACCCTCAGCCAGAACCAGAAGCATCGCTTGGACCAGTAGCACTGCGCCGAGGTTGCTGCTAACTTTTCCTAGTTGCTCACCATTGTTTGCAGTGTGGGGAGACTGGGTCACCTTGGAGGGCCCTTGTTTGGGCTGAAGGCTCCGGGCGAGCGGCGGGGGGGGTGCGGAAGGGGAGGACAAAGAGCCCTGGAGTCCAGGACGTGTCCTGCTGAACAGAGAAGAGTCACCTCCCTGCCCCAGGTAGCCTGAAGCAACAAAAATGCTGCCGCCACCCCGGGTGCAAACTCCTCGGGAGCCGGAGTCGCTGCCTGGGTGCAGATGATGAAAATGTCTCCTCCAGCTGCCCAGCTTAGCTCAGAAGGCCGCGGCCTCCTTGCCGCCTTCTTCCGCGCGTCAGGGAGGAGGCATGGGCCCGAGGGGTGCTTGCCCTTCCTAATTCCAGAGCCCACGCAAGCCAGGGAGCGAAAAAGCGGGACTCCTGCGCAACCCAGTCCACAAGGTGGGCCCGCTTCGCCCTGCCGTCCGGGAGTGAGGGGGGCCCCTCCCTTCCTGTGAACTTGCTGACAGAAGGGGCCTCCTCCCAGCTTGGGACTCACCTGGCAAAGCACCCCTTCCCCGGCACCTCGATCCTCCGGAGGCTTTATTCCCTGCCCACTAGTCCCGATTCCCGGGCCAGCAAACACATCGCCCCTTGGACGCTTCTCAGCAGCGGAAACGCTTTTTCCACGTCAACTCGCCGAAAAGCTGAAAGCCTTCTTCCCAAATCTGGAACCAGAGTAGGCACTCTGTAGGCTTAGCGGGTGCAGTGCTCCCACCTCGCAAGGAAGTGTTTAATACCAAGCGATCCAGAAGCTAAGAGGGGCCAGTCCGGGGACGGAGACGCCCCTTCCTCCTGGTCTCCTTGTAAACGAGGGCCGATGGCCATAGCCCTCTGGGACCAGGCCCTCCGAGAGACCCAGGCAGCCCGGCTCTTGGCGCCGAGCCGGCGCTTCCGCAAAGGAATCACGGTTTTGTATTCGCGAAGGCTTTCACGGCCGGGATCTAATGGTGGTTGTGGGTTTTTCGGGCTCTTTGGCTCTTTGTTCTGAAGGCTGTTCTTCCTAACGTTTCGCCAGTCTCTCTGTGGCCATGGGCATCTTCCGAGGACAACCACCACGGTTTTCGTGGGAGGCAGCGAGGTGGAGGGAGAGTCGGCCAGCTCCAAGTGGCCAGCTCCTTCTTGGTAGAACCTTGAGGAAGCCCGGCGGCGAGGGAAGCAGCCCATCCCGCGCAGCCCACTAATCCTCCGAAATCTCTTCCCCTTGCAGAAGGTGGCTCGGTTTCTAGCCTGCCCAGAAGTTTCCGGAGGGCCGTGCGCCCTCTCCAGCCTCCCGCTTACCGCCACCTCTGCGGGCCTCCGTTCGACATGACCAGGGAGCGGAAGCAGAGCAGAGCCTTCCATGATGTCCACGGGCGGCTGAGAAACCAAGGCGCCTCAACAGGAGGCCCAGCCGGTCCCACTTGAGTCCTCTGAGGGCCTGTCTTGCAGAGCCCGCTTGTCCTCCTGCAGCCCTACTCCGCGGAAAGTTTGCGCCCCTGAGAGCTCACTACCTACCGGCGGGTCCCGCCGCCTTCAGGGACTCTTTGGGAACCCGGCGCCGCTGGGCTTTCTAGGGACTCGTTTCCGTCCCGGCAGAAGCCGCCCATTCCTGGACCCCACGTTTTCGAAGAGGGAAAGGGGGCCCTTGTCTTACCGTCTCGTTCCAGTTTCTCTTCAAGGTACTGCTGGTAGTCATGATTCTTACGCTTGTTCACCCCTTGGCCCGGCAGCCGGAGCGGGCTGGCGTGTCTCTCTTGCGCCTTGTTAGAGTTTCTGTGTTGGCCCGGAAGGCGAGAGGCGAGCATTGGTCGTTCCGCTACTCTCTCTGCCTCTTTTGTCTATTTCTACACCAACGGTGTGTATTGTTTTATTATCTTCTCTTTCTTTTTTAAAAAAGCTCTGCATGATTTATGCATGCATTCTTGGGAATCTGGTGTTTTTTTTAAAAAAAAACCGGCCGGTCCCTCGGAGTGGTATTTAGAGGAGCCTCGGAGGCAGAAGAGCGGTCGGGCGATCCTTCAGTCCTCTTTCCACGGCGCTTTCTTATTCTATGGCTCCCGCCACGTCCCTGTTCCCGCCTCTCCTCCTGCCGATGTTGTTCAAAACAACGAACGTTTCGTATCTAGGAAAGCTCCGTGGCTGACTAACGCGTCCGGCTAGGCCAGTGGGAGATCGGATCCCTGGCTGGCGGCTTGGTTTGATGTGGTCAGGGCGGAAGATACTGACCGTCAGTGGGCTCCTTCTCCCGGCTAGGAAAAGGAGAAATTATAGGTTTTTAAAGGCCGGGAAGCCGTGCCGTGAATCCATCTTTCCAGCCCTTCCAGGCGTTCTTCATCCGCCTTGCTCCTCGAAAAGAAAGGGATCGAGTCGCCTTCAGCCGCGAGGAAGAGGGCCCCTCTCTCGAGCATCAAGGAAGCGTGAAGGACCGTCACCCTGGTCCTTGCCGGTCAGTGAACAAGAAGCCCGATTTAAGGTTCTATTTTTGGGGTGGGGGGACGGCCGACCTTTACCGAAAAGTGGGGCGGGGGCGCTTTTTACCTATTCCTGTAGCCCATTTCTTGCCTCGCTCGCCACGGCCAAGGCGTGCTAAGTCGGTCGCGCTTCTTTCCTTATAAATTTCTGTACCTGAGAACCGGAGCAGCAACTCCTCCTCCTTGGCCATCAAGGACGGAATGGCACCGACACGGTCCCACCAAGAGGCCGCCAGTGGCAGAGCCCCGGCCAAGTTTCCATTTGGGGCGGTCAGCAACCGCGGAGTTCTCGCCTCCCACCCTTGCCCTCTAGGCCAGGAGATTTTCCCGGACTAGAAACTCTTGGTTCTTTATCCGCTGGGCTTCCCTGTGGCCGGTTTCTTATGTGAATGGTTCTCTGGCGACTCCCCCGGGTTTTCCGAGCCTTGTTTCCCTCTCAGTTTCAGTTGCTTTATCTAGAAAAGCAACCATGAGCCTTGTGACACCTTAAACAAGTCCTGTAAATTCCATTGCAGGGACTGAAGCGCTAAGCTTGCGCGGAAGGAGGTCGAAGGGCGGGCGAGACTCTCGGTTGGTTTTCCCGCAAAGGCAAACACGGCCGCCATTGTTGTGGCTCCGCTCCGGGCCTTTCAGGTGTTTCCGACTTGCGAAGGCGCCCCGAATCAGTGCTCTGCGGCGCTCGCTCCTGAAATGTAAAGAGGAGAAGTTCTGCAGTTGATGGCCTCACGTGGCGGAAGGCGGGGGGAGCTCAGGCACGGGAGAAGGAGGTTTTTGCACGCCGGTGGGGAAAACGTTCGGAGCGCTGGAAAGGGAAGCGAGCCCCAAAGAAGGCGCCACCGGAGTCACCGGGCCGGGTCTCGAAGGGGAGGTCCGAGCTGACTGCACTGGCGGGACCCTCACCCAAGAAAGATCCAGGCCGTGCAGGCAAACCGGAGCTTGGAATGGGATTTAACCGCTTCTGCATAGCCCGGCAGGCCCGGAGGCGACCGGCCTCTTCCCCCGGTTGGCTGCCGGCCTGGGTGGGTGGGCTGCCGCCGATTCTGAGCCTAAAGTGATTGTGCAGGGACGGAAGCCCGTTCTGGACATGGTGATGGCGGCGGGGCGTGGGAGCCCCCTCCCCGTCTAAGATTCCATAGCCTCAGGCCACAACCGGAGAGGCCCAAGCCGGCGGAGAAGGGGCGGTTTCCCCGCGACCTCTACTGCACCCGCCCACTTCAGACGGGAGCCTGTCAGTCACTGCCATGGGCCGCCAATCAGAATCTCAGGGCGAGAGATTTTTGGCAAGCTGAGATGGAGACTGGGGGAAAAGAGCCTGTAGCCTCGCCCGCCTTCCCGTGCCTGCCCGGCCGCCGGCGCCGCTCTCCGGGGATGCCCAGATGCAGAGCAGCGGAGGCAGAGCGCTGGGCCCGAGGTGGAGCGCCCCTGCCCTCGCTGCCGCCTGGGGGGCCTCCGAACAGTTCCTCGCCCCTATGGAATCGTTGCAGGACGATGCCATCCGACACTGAGGTCTGGAAGGCCCGCGTGGCTTGCGGTGGCTGGAAGAGATCTCCAGACACTCCAGCCGGGCGATTCGCTTGCTCCGAGGTGCAGCAGGAGTCTGGCGTCAGCATGCACGAACCGCGCGGCTGGGGCTGGGGCAGCAGCTGCTGCTGCTGCTGCTGCTGCTGAGGGGGCGAAATGGAACCCTTTGGCCTGGGACCGGAGGGGACCGTCCACACGCCTCCACCTCCTCCTCCTCCGCCGCCGCCGCCGCCTCCTGCCCAGGAGCCCATCCGCTTTGGCATCGACCAGATCCTGGGCTGTCCGCAGCCGCCGCCACCGCAGCAAGAGGACAGTGGCGTGGCCGCCGTCGGAGAGCCCGAGCTGGCGCTTTACAACGGAGGAAGTTACGGCGCAGAGTACAACGCAGCTTGCTCCCTCAGCGCCTACGGCCTTTCCGGGGCTTCTGTGGGCAGTGGCGCCGGCGTGATCCGAGTGCCGGCGCACAGACCTGTCCCCTCGGGGCCGGTCCATCCTCCGTCGGGGGGCCCTAGTCTCACTTTTCCTTGGATGGAGAACAACCGGCGGCTTGCTAAGGACCGGATCGCAGGTGAGAAGGTATCTTATCCGCCCCTTCATTGCGTGGCACCTCAAAGACTTCCCCTGAATGCAGGGGTGTCAAAGAGGGGTGGGTGGGTAGCCCCGCGCCCCATGCAGCGGTCCTCCCTCCCACTCCCTGGAAAAGCGGGTGCCCCAGCACCTCCGGGGCTGCTGGGTTCTGTCCCTTTGCATCTGCCCCGAGCAAAATCTGAGCCGGGACTCCCAGGCTTGGTTCCAAAGGAAGAGGCCAGTGCAAACAGGGGCCTGTCCAGTATTTTGGAAACGTTGCCCCATCCATTCCGGAATAGGGCTTTTTTGGACGGTGCCCGTGAGAGCTGGACCTTCAAGGTCCGCAAAAATGTTGGCCAAGTGGTGCGGAAAAGCGACCAACTCAGCCTGGCTTGAATTCCAGACGGGTCGGGTAGGAAAATTCACGACTCCACGGCCTCCGGCCCCAGCAGTGCCATTACTTTATCCTGCCCATTTAGTAGAAATAGAGACTTCTTTCTGTTTTTGTGTTTTACAAAATCCTAGCTAATAAGGAAGGGCGCGGAGGGAGGGAGGGAGGACAGCGGTCAGCTGGGCCAGGTGACGGAAAGACAGCCAAGAGAAGTTCGTTCGGCTCCCCTTTCCAGAGTCAGGGGCTTCCAGAGGACACCGCCCCATTGCTAAGGGGTAAATATAGAGGAGGGGATCTGGGAAGAGAAGAAAAAGGAAGTTTTTACACGTGGGGGCAGGGGAAGGGGCGCGGGTTTGTCGGGAGAGAGCTGGTACGGGTCGATGCGAGGGATCGCTGGGCTGCTCCTTCCCATGCACGCAGGGTCCCCCGGATGTCCCTGCAGGACTGAGTGAAAGTCCTTCCTGGATCTGGCCGGTGGGTCCCTCTTTGGAGAGCGAAGGCCACCCGCGGAAGAGGGCCCGGGGAGACGGGGTGGCCGGGGCAGGGAGAGACTGGCGCTGTGGTACCCCTCGTTCAGCCTGGGTCACAGAAATATCCCGATGAGGGTTCCCCCCTCTTTTTTTTTCCTTTTTGTGATCGCGGACCCTGCCTCTCCTGAAGTCCGGGCTGGCTCTCTGGCTTCTTACGTCCTCACTCCCTCCCTCCCTCGTGGCTGCCTCTAACCGCCCCCTCCCGCTGTACCCTGCCCCTCTTGCTATACCCACAGCCACGCTGCCACCTTTCTCTGTGGCCCGGCGCGTCGGCCACCCCTACCAGAACCGCACGCCACCCAAGCGCAAAAAGCCACGCACGTCCTTCTCAAGAGCGCAAATCTGCGAACTGGAGAAACGGTTCCACCGGCAGAAATACCTGGCCTCCGCCGAGCGGGCAGCCCTGGCAAAAGCTCTCAAGATGACCGACGCCCAGGTCAAGACCTGGTTCCAGAACCGCCGCACCAAGTGGAGGTAAGGAGCGGCGGCGGCGGCGGCGGCGGGCGGCGGGCGGCGGCCCTCCCTGCTTCAGCGAACGGCCAAAACTGCCAGCCGCGCAGGCCTCTCTCCAGGGGCCGTCCTTTCCCTCAGCACCTCCGTTGCAAAGGTCCGGTATTGTTCCACTTAGCAGGATTGTTGCAAAGGTTTGTTAGGTAATGCAGGCCAGGTTCCCCGAGCTTTTAAACCTCTGGTGGGATGTAAAGGGCGGGGAAGGCCCAAACTAAGAGGAGGCGCATATAGGAGGGAGGAGGACGCTTTAGGGAAAGGCTGGGCTGCTTCAATTGTTCCCTGCACCCCCCCCCCTTCAGATCAGACGCCTAATCGCACAGTGGAACCCAGAGGCCTGCCCTCCAAGCAATGACTGCCTTTTATCGTTCAGAAAAAAATGGTGGTCGTGATATAGTATCTTTTAAATATGGGCGCCTCAAATATGCTGGAATCAAATACAAGACAAATTTCCTGTGACTGTGGAGAAATTCAATCCACGCAGCATTTACGTGAAAGCAATTTATGCCCCTCCAGGTGTACAAAAGCAAGCGAATGGTCCAGATAAAGCTACCGAAGTACCTGCCGCTGGTCAAGAATTAGTCTACTTATTTTAACATTTTACCATGTTTTAAATTTTACCTATATTTCAGGTACGTCCATAATTTTAAATTGTACAACCCTCTGAGGCGAATCCTGAAAAGAAAGACTCACTGGCTTGGCTAGTGACAGCCACTCTGTTCAGGCCCA